CTATTTTGATTAAATAAATTTGTTAAAAATTTAAAAAATAAACAATTTAGATTTTCAGTACAAATCGGCAATTTCATACTTTAACCCCTATTATTTTCATAACACACAGGTAAGGTACAATAAAAGCTTGAATACTAGTAAGTAAAACTACATTACATTATATTAATAAAATTGGGTCCCCGCGGCAAGGTGCCCAAGATGCTGGCAGCGTTCCCCTTTTTTATGGCTATGCTAACGCGTTGGGCAAAGTAGCTCCCGGGCCCTTGGGTTTCCTAGGCTTTTTTTCTTTTTTTCCATTACTTTGTTCTATTGTTATACAACTAACTACTTTTTTTTTATAAAAAAGTCGTTAGTTTGCTATGATTACTGAAATTCGCTTTTATTCTATTTTGCGACGGATTTTGAGAAAGTATTCATTGTATTGTATTACAAATTTGTATATCTCAAGTTAGTTAGTTTTTTTGTTGCATTGACTAATCACTCCTTTGTTCAAAATTGATTAACACAAAAATATTCAGTGTTGCAAAGTAGCAAAACCTTAAATCGCTATAAATAAATTAACCGCTGTTATCTACAATGAATAATTGCTTTCGTTCGTGTTAAAAAAAATTAATTCGTTTTAGTTTCTTACACTAGTTGTTACGTACATTTAAATTAACAAATTCGAATTACAAAAATATGTTTCATACTTTACTACTGACGGTATAATAAAATATTTCAGCTCAAGTAAAGATGAAGCAATGGTTTTTTTTTAACCTTCATTTAATTTTAGGACTTTTGTTCTAGAGAACATGCCAGTCCTATCATACCTTATTCTGATTGTCATGCAATTTACAGTAAAAATATTTTTTTATATTATTCAAAATACTACGTTAACTATCGCTGATTTACCATGTCACACAACATTTTTGTATAATTTGAGGAGGGTTCAGACAAAATCCCTTGGAAAAAATTGACGTTCGAGCGGTTCAATTATAATGGAAACGTCAGTAGTTGTCACTGGCTTTCGTTCTTGGTACTTTCCGCCAACAAGTGATGAACGTCTTCAATTTTATTACAAAATTCACAATTTGGTGAATTCACTTCTTTCATAAAATGAAGTAATGGTAAAATATTTTAGAATATTGTAGAACACATTAGTATGATTGAGAGAGTGATTTTCTTAATTTAAATTAATATGTTTCATTATCAACCCATTTGTACGTCCCACTGCTGGGCACGGGTTCACCAAGGTGACCCAATGCGGGTTAGGTACTACACTTTTTCCGAGGGTTGTTAATTTTTATTTATAACGCATACACTTATAACCCCGCACTAGGGAAACCCTGCACCGCAAGTGCCATAGACACACACATACAATCACAAATTACACCCATTTTGGGGGAGATTTGTGCCCCATAGGTTAAAAAAACTGTTACGGAGATAATGTGATTGTAAATTTGACGCCTGGCGAATGCATGATATATTCTTTATTGCACATTAAAAATTACAATGACAGCACAGAATAATAATGTAAGTATCACAGAGTAAGCTAATGTACAATAGGCGTCCTTATTGCTAAGTAGCTATTTCTTCCAAGCAACCTTAAAATACAAATTTAAGTGCTTTTAATATCAAGTGACGGGACGAAAATGTGTGCCTGTTGGTAAGTTACTACGAACTTTACATTTTAATATCCCTAAGGTAACATACAAGGTGACCAAAAAAAGAAACCCAGATATGATCCGTAAATCGACTTTCCTATTACAAATGCCGGTGGTAGCTCCGAGTAGCGTGTAATGAGAAACCAGAATGTTAATTAAGATGTAATTAAGTCTAATACAATCAACAATGCTGCTCGCGTTCCGAAGGCATCCGCAAGTCATCATGAGGGTTTTTATCACTACCAACGTAGCTTGACTCTTTTATCATCACACAACGACCTCTCGCTGTATTATTCGTAAGTTAACGAAGGGAGGGGGCAAAGATCTTTTAAACTGGTCACGATAATCGAATGAGATCGGCCAACCCTTTAGTAAAAAATCGGTTAAATTCACTCTTTCCGAAGTCTATTGTGATTTGAGAACTCAATTTAGGGAGCTATAAGATGACGACGTGAGAGTTAAGAAGCGTAATGAAGATATCTAAGTCATATTAAGTTCATAGTGTATTGGAACATAAAGAAGTTACAAAATCGATTAATAAAAATAACTGCTAGTAGATATAGAGCTCCTTGTGAAACAGTTCCTCTAGGAAAGTACCTACTAACGCCATACCCATTTCAACCGCCGAGCATTACTCCGTTCGGGTTTGAAGGGTAAGAGTATGGTTGAATCTGCAGGCTCACGAGACCTGTCAACTTTATGTCATAGTGTGACGTCAAGTCTTTGGGAATCCAAATATTTCCCGCACCAATACGGTTCATTTTGCTTGGGTCGAACTTTCAGAATTTATTTTTTTACAATCGTAATTAAAGCCGTTGGAAAAATTAGTGTCGTATACTATACGTGTTCTATTTAGTTCAGTTCATATTAACAAAATCATTGGTATGTGTAAACTTCCTGTAAAATACATTCGGTTTTCTTGTAAATTTTCGAGGTAAGTTTGTGTTTTTTTTTTGGTGCTAATTTTTACGAATCGTGTTTTCACATCGTATAGTTCAGTGTATATCCTCAAATTTAAAATATATTTTATCCAAAGTGGTTGATTGAACACTTTTACTGTTAGGTGGAATCATCCAAAGCCATTTGGGGTTGTATAGACCCTTAAAGCTCTGTGTGGTACAGCAAATGTTATGGGTAGATTACGCACGACTTGTTTATCCCGTCAATTGATGTTATATAAAAAAGTTAAAACGACACAAAAGATGTCAGGGTAGGTTTTATTTAAAGCCTTGGCTGAAACTGACGGGGCCGAGTAAGTGAGGCAAAAAAAAACTTATTTTAACGTTAACTATGCTAGGTGAGGACGTTATAACATTCTCACATTTTATATTACATTTTGTTTGATTCCAGGATCAATTTCAGAAGTTTCACATTTTTTTTAACGCATACACTCATAGCCCCGCACTACGGAAAGCCTGTGTCGCGGGTGCCATGGACACACTAATAGACAACCACAAAATACACCCAAGCCTACGAAATAAATGTAAGCATACAAATATTTCTACTGACCCGGGAATCTAATCCGAGACCTCTGCGTGGCTGAACAGCGTGGTCATCGTTCGACCACGGAGGCAGTTAATTCTGGTCTGGGTATTTTGGGTAGTGCCCTAGAGTGAAATTCGTGGTTCTGGTACTCACAGGATAGGAAATACCCTTTAAGACCAGATAAATGGTGTGGTTAATTAACAACTTAAGTAACACGTTGATATCATTTTTTTTCGTTTCTCAATTCTTTGGCTGGTTTTAACTGCATTTACTGACAAAAATCGACAAAATGCAATATGGCGTGTATGTATGTTTAGGATGGGTAGTGATGAGAACTTATTTCGGTTTTTTTTCTTTGTGCATGAACTTTCTGACAATTCGGCATGTATATAAAATTACAGCTTTTTGTAAGGTAATGTAAATTATCATCATAATTATAGAGATCTATGATTTAATTATGCCTTCGTAATATTAGTAAAATATACATACATAGATCTTATGCCGCCGTTAATGGAAAGGGCGCATGTGAGAAAAATACTTATTTTTTAAATTTAATTTCCTTATACAATATTTTCAATGTTTTGAATTTTTATCACAAACTTTCAACTAACGGCAGCAGAGCAACCTAAATAATATTAAAAAAATAAGCCGCCGGTACTTTTAAAACTAATTTATTAACAAAACAAAATACTGGATAAAGTACATTATGAGGTATGGACGATTTTTTAACTGTAGTTTATCTACAATAGCCGTTGAACATTTCAGCGATACATGTTTACGATCTTGTCAAATGTTGAATTGATATATTAAAAGTGTTCTCTTACACATAGGCTCTTATACACTTTTGATATTTCATCCTGTGATCTAAGAAGCAACATAATTTCGAAATTTATAATAATGTTTATTTAAATATTATAGCGCTCCAACACATTTGCTTTTTATCTCCTTTATAATAAAATAAACTCAAGCAGGTTATAATATAAAAATTTGATTATAGATCCTTCCACGTCAAAAGAACACAAAGTGATTTGCTCAATTACTTGGTCCGTTCTGTAATGGCGCTATAAAATCAAGATCAATAACCGTCTCCTATTGTAGTGGTCCACGCGGTCTCTAACAACGCTTATAAAGTCAGAGATATGAAATAACATTCAAAACTGACCATAATACAAGCTATAAACAAAATTAACAACACAAGAACCCCTGCTGGTTTCAATTTTGAGGCTGACATCGGTCCTAATTCAATAAAGCAATAAAATTCACCTAATTATGCAAATGCTTTTGAAATATAAGGTATTATGCTTTTTTTTAGCTTGAAAAAATATGATGGGAGCCGTCAAATGAGGTCGTCGTAGGCTTTGATTAATGGGCACTGGCCGTGCGTTATCAAAATAATGTCATTAATATAATAGATTAATTATTATGTGTAATTAGAGAGTCGGCGGGAGGCGCCATGTGGATTAACTTGTACAATATTTTAATAATCCATCTATTAGCATTAATAACTCATAGAAACAGTCTTTGACGCGCCATGACTTTATATTTCATTTCAAATATTAATTAGATCTATTTCGTCACACGCATGTCATAATAAAATACAGAAAATACTTGTATACCACCTAGACCAGACATTTCATTATATTCTTAAATGTAATCAACAATTTTTTTAAATATTTAATTCCGTTTGTTGTGAATTATTGTTAATTAAACATCGCTTTTAAGGTCACAACTCAGTATTCATAAAGAGGATCCATTACTTGATGTATGTGACGCTATGAATTACAGTACAAGGCCGCACTTCACAATTTTTAATGAAACATGCATTCGTTTGATGTTAATTACAAAAATATGTAAAGTAATCATAGTACTTACGTCGATTAATTCACACCGCGAAACTCCGTAAAAATCGATAAGTCCTTTTATAGCACGTGAAGAGAGTGAAGGGAACACGAATAAATTGCCGTCAATAAACGACACAATTTACAAGATACCCCGTGACGTCTGGTCCGACAACAGAGCAATAAACTATGACACACCGACGCCTTCAATCGACTGGTAGAGAATACAGCCGGCTCGACAGTCGCCTACGCACGGTTCGAAAACGTATAACAAAAACTGTAGCGGGCTCAAGCCACTCCCCTGTGGAACGCCCGGCCAATAGCAGCGCGTTGATCCGTCGCTGGGTGTGAGGGTGGGCCATAATCAGTTAATACTGGTCCCTACTTCGATACCACTAATTGACTTTATCAACAAACCGACTTTACTGGCTGAAGTCACGATATATGCGTTTGTCTGCTGTGTCAAAGCCTAACTGTGGTCCACTAGTGCTGTAATTAAGTATGCTGCGAGTTAATGGGTGATTTGAGCTTCGTCGAGATTATTCAAGCTTAATATGTTTTTGAATAATCGATTTGTAATAAGGCTTTTTAATTTCTTTTTGTGTCTATTAACACATTTTTTGATTCTATGTGAAAAAAACATGTTTCATGTAGTGAGGCGAACAGAGCTAACTACAATTCCAAGAAGATAAATTTATTGTTGAGAAATATAACGTACGCTTCTTCTTTATTGAAGCATTGAAAGCCGTATTAGGTACCCAATTAAATGCTATGAAATCTTTATAAGCGGCGGCTTAGAGCATTTATTTGTGAACGTCGGCATCTTTGCTCTAATTGCACCTAGGGCCATAAACCAGCTGGCTTGGCCTCTTGCAACTACTTGCAACTTAGTTAGCGGCTTCGCTTTACACCGAGAGAAGCCTCTCAAGTTATTAGTTTGATACGTAATCAAGAACTTTAAGTATAGCGCAAGTACAGTAATAATACAGCATAACCCATAAAGATAATGATGATTGCAATACGAAAATTAGCTAATGGATACTAAATTAATGTTTTAAGAGATACACAAGTCCTAAATGTTAGTACGATACATTGTTGTAGTTATTGTTTAATTTGTTTACATGCATACATAATAGTAATAAATAAGTTGAGCAATAAACAAACGAGTCCACTAAAATTGCTTACAATTGAAAAAAAACATACCGACACCATTTCTTTTAATATCTTAAAACAACTACTATTTCAAAAACTATTTTATTTACAAAAACAATTCAAATTACTCTTTAATAATATAAGATTAAAATCTAGACAAACAACACGCGATGAAGGCTAGATTTTTATTCACTGTTGTCTTTCCTATCTTAGACGCTGACAAGTCATATAAAGAAGAAGGCCGATGTCGAGATAACGCGAAAGACAAAATGTTACAACAAGTTAGACCAACTACAAAAATAACGTAATAATTTGTAACAACCATCATTAAGGCCGCAATTAGTCGTCTTCGCGATGTAATTAAAACTATTAAAATGACATTTGGCACAAATCCCCTCGTATTATTCCGCTTCGTATCTTATAATGGTAGGTACAATTGTTTCAGAATTACATAGAAGGCGGAACAAAATCATGTTTGTTGTAATGTATTTTAGATTTGTTACTTTCAACTAGATTATAATTTTTGGACACGTACAATTATGACTATGCAACAAACAAAGCTTCGGTGTCTGATGTATTGAATTTTTAAAACAAACAATTATTTATTGCCTGTTGGGCATATTATTTGTAATTCTGAAGAATAACATATATTATTTTGCACAGTTTTGGGCCGTCATGAAGGTTTAACCAGTGCTCAGTCAATAGAATGTTATTATGCATCAAATTACAGGATAAAGCTTTATTGTATTGTGCTGGCGCATTTGTATGAATAATAAATGTTTTATAATGAAACATAATCGTTATAATGCGACAGATAAACAGACAGTGGAAACTGATTGCACATTAGGTTTACCTGATTACAAAACATATAGGATTTCCTCCCACGGTGAGCAATTACACGACTCACCAAATGACTCGCACAACGACACGTGAATAATAAACGAGTCTCGAGATAATGCCTCGCCTTTGCGCTGGAGTTTTCTAAATCACTCGAATTATTACTAACAACGTAATTCCCGCTCCCGACATAAATTGGCCCATATTTAATTTTGGGAAAATGTAAAAATAAACGTTTTTATTTGTGTAAATAACACAATAAAACTGCCGGTGCCATTACGCAGCCGACACGAAATTTGTACGCGCACCAAATTACACAGATAAGATCTGTGTCGCCATAATTGTTTTTTACCGTCGTTAGTGCCCTGGATCGTGTAAATTCAGTTAGGGGAATATAATTTTTTTTATTTCAAATTCAATATGCACGTTTTTGTGTTTGCCGGAAAAGGACGCGTTAGAAAAAATTGCGCGCATCCGGCCGATCGCAGCTTTCACGTTGCAATAACGGTAATTAGCGCTCGAATCACATTCGACAAAGGAGCCGATGTTGTCTGTTTCCGTATGCCATTAATGTGACAATATTAAAGAGAGCTCGATTTAATGAAGATATATTGTCCTATCAGTTCCACCTACAGCAACTATAGACAAGCTATATCCGCCCCAATCGTTGACATCATACAGAATATTTCACTGTAGACCGATACTATGTGAGGATCAGTCTAAGTGTCGAACGGTCGACAAATCGCACTCATTTGCGGCTTGGCGAATCAATCGTGTAATTTTGGTTTTTTTTATCTTCGGTGTCATCGAAGTCACCCGAATGTGTCCGGATGTGACAATTGGGCCTTGGTTCTACAGTCACTACAGTTTCCGTTTTCTTTTTTTCTCGACTGCGACTTAATTTAAAATAAATTACGGAGGACATTCACTCCGTTTCTTGCCCATGTTGGCGATGACTGAGCATCAGTCGGTTAATCGGAATGTGCCATTGATTTGATTCCGTCATTGTTTTGTTTTCGATAGCCAAAGTCATAGTTAATTAGTCAAAGCGAGGAGTCAGTGACTGTTGAAGGAAATACGATTTGATATGGATGTGAATGGTTAACTAGAGGTGACATTCAAATGAGCACGAAGTGTTGTGTTTGTGCCGCATCATTAATAACAAGGGTCAAATTCAAATGGAATTTACTTATATGTAACGTAAAGTTATGTTATGGTTACTATTGTGATATGTCACCTCTATAATATTGAACATTGATGGCGAAGGGTCAATCTAACATGATTTCCAATAGCTTTTCTCAGAAATTAGTTGCTCAAGTTAACGGTTCCCATTGCGCAGATAATGTTCTGCATGGCAACATTTGCAGCAACAGTATCGTTTCCTTCTACAGTGGCTTATCTTTTTTTTTAAATATCGTCTCTGGCGACTGTTGGACAACATCAAGAACGTCGATACAATGCAAGAGGACAAAAATTGGTCCTTCCAAAAAACGTATCTCAACTTCCGAGACGAAATCGTAACTCAACATTTGTTTTAATGAAAACAATAATTGATCTTGCACGGTCAGGTCGTGTATCATCTCTTCAGAAACCGTCACGATGTTCTCAGGCACGATCGACGCGATGCAACGCACTAACGAAATTTACTCCCCTTTGTAAGATCGGACAAAAAGCAAATCGAGTTACGGCTAAAACGAGAGAAAATCGACAAACAAATACCATTACCACGGCCATTTTCGACCGGGATCCGCTCGTGATGACGCCGTTTTTCAGACCCTTGACCAACAGCAACATTTAAAGTTACAGAGCGACTTATTCTCGTATTTCTACAACCATTGAGGCGTTTCCTTTCTGTTAAAACCATCAGCACAAAACACGATCATCAATGTACGAAACTCGGTGTCTGATTCTGGCCATGAGATGATTTCACAGATGGCTTGATGCCGGGATTCAATTCACGACTTGTCTTTTTAGCCTGATTCGGTCGGACTAAACAAACTGTGCCGCTGGCCCCGAATCGATTGGTCTCGGCCCAGAGCATTGCCACTCAAAAAGGAGAACTTACAGTTTTTGGATGTCCGCCGCGGTGGGAAGTTGGTTTAACGCTGTACTTTTTTGGACTATTTACTCATGAAAGCTGGTTACTGACTCTACTTTTTCTACGACGAAAATAAAACCAAAACTGGTATTCATTTAAGATACAAGCGACAAATGAAACTATGAACTTTTCATTTAAGTTTAAAATGCTAATTATCGTTTATTTATCCAATTGTCAACACAATATCAAATGATAATTTAACTACTTTATCCATTTATTCTATTTCGCCTTAATTAAATTGTTTTTCTTTCCCATCTTCAATAAACGACTAATGAATTACATTATTCACTATCGTATCATTCCTAATTGCATTAATATGCAAAACAACAGCGCTATTCAACACATAGTAACCTATCCATTTGTTGCTATCTAATCTTAGTCCACGCTAGTTAACTTACAAGGTATTAATGTCGATTTTTTATCCTTTGAGTACAATGTAGAGAAGTAATGAAATTATAGTTTACAACACATTTTATGTGTTGTAAAATCATAATTACATAACGGCATTTAAGACACTGCGTAAAAAGGAATGTAAAAAATGGCTTCATTACTGGCAATGAGCAATATACTCTTTTATTTTTGAGAAAATTATTATTACACTAAAGAGATCGCATGTATGCTTTTTATATATACTAAGGTCCGTGAAAGACTTTTTTTCTGGTACTGTTTTTTTCCATTCAAATTTTTTTCCGTAAAAACAATCTTATTTCAATGTAAGCTTATTATAATATTACTCATATTCGTACCATGATAAACATGTCAACCAAGTAATGCATTATTGCTAAAGTGATTAAAAGAACGAATGATTTCCCAATATTGTATCTACTAAAATAGGAAAGAAATAACGCTATATGAACTATATAATGCCATCTCTTTCTTTTTTGATATTTCGAATCGTGTTTTCGTTGTATAATGTTTAAGTATTTAATGTTATTTACATTTAGAGAATTTTAACTTTTAAAAAAAGAATGTAATGTAAGTATAAAGTAATGTATGTAATAGTAAAATCTATTAAAATTACGTTGTTTTCAATTATTTTTCCGCATTTTCATGAAGAAAAATAAATAAAACAAAATGAGTTTTGATAATCACGTTATGAA